TTCTGGGCTGGCAGCCAAGCCAAGAAGCCACCTGCCCAGTTCCAGCTTTGCCTCGGCTCTTCCAGCTGCCTCTCACTCCCCCCCCCCCTTTCCAGGGCTGCTCCTGGATGAGTAACTTCAGCTTTTTTGTTCTCCGTTTGCCTTCAGAAGCGCATATTCCAATGCTAATGACTCCAGGGTGTCTGGACAGATTGCCTGACTGGCTGTTCCCTGAAGAGGAGGAGGAGGAGGAGGAGGAGGAGGAGGAGGGAAGAGCTCTCTCGGCTTCTTGTGGCGCTTTTCTTCGGAGGAAGGAGCCTGTGAACTAGAACACTCCTCTTCGTTTGAATGGCATCTTGCTTTTGTCTCCTGCCTCCCTGGAGAGCGGGTGGCTGTTTGCAACCGCCCTCTGAGGAAATTCTGGGGGATGCGAGGACAGGGCTGCTCCTCTTTCAGTTGTCCATGAAGGGTGGGAAGGTTTGAGAAGCTCCCTCTTTGGGTATATCCTTCCCTCTGATAGTGAACTCAGGTGGTTGAGGGCAAACAGGGATGGAGCCCAAGAAGGGAGGGTGTATAGGGCAAGCACAGGTGAGCACGGCGGTCTGCAGAAGTGTCACTTGGAAATAAAAATGGGGAATGTGGGCGGGATTGGGAAAGATTCCCTGGATTTCCCTGGTTTATGGAATTACAGAATTGGAAGGGATCACTGGGGTCATCTAGTCCAACCCGCTGCAATGCAGGAATCTTTTGCCAACAGGGCTCAAGCCCATAACCCTGAGATTAAGTCTCATTCTCTACCAGCTAAGCTATCCCAGATCATAGGCGCCATTTCCTAGGGGGCTGAGCTCCCTTCAGCAGCACCCCAAATATTTACTCACAGCTTCCTCTCTCCTGCCCCAGCGATAGTTCCAGCTGATTGGTCAACCGCACTAGCCCTGCCTTCCTTAAGAGACTTGGTTGTTAATCCGAAAGAGAGGCATACGTTTTTGTGGGTCTATTGCAGCTCTATGGGTACTGTGTCCTTGGGTTCACTTCTAGCGCATTCAGGGGAGGCAAATGGAAGGTGTCCTTAGGGGGCAAAGACAACTACAAAAGCGGGTGGCTTCAAAATGACACGGGAAGGTGAATGCTGAAATGTACTACCTGCCAATGTTTGGATGTGACTCCTTCTGCCCAGCCATGGATGCTTTAGTTGAGATTCCTGCATTGCATAGAGTTGGACTAGATGTCTTTGAGGGTCCCTTCAAACGCTACAGTTCTATGCTTCCGTGAGTCTATGAAGCGTAGGTATCAACAGAGCCAGTATGAATGTTTGACATCTGCCCTGTTAAGTGCTTAGACTTGAGACAAAATGAATTAAAAAAGATAAATCCCAACAACTTTAAAACTGCCACCAGCTGAAACACAATTGAAAGTCTACAGGTGGTAAGTCAATCATCTTCTTTTAATACTGCGGCAAGATCTTTTAGATATACATATATATACAAACACACACATCACATGATTCCAACAGCAAGAACAGGAAACAGCAGGCGACGACATTTCAGGATTGCACTATTTAATTTAGCTGTAACTGCTAAACTCAGTCCCCCTGCCTGGATGTTTTCACCTGAGAATTTATACTACGGTCCTGTTATTCTCTTGCCACCCACAGGTTTTCCTCACTGGAAATGTTGGCCACAGATTATCTTCACAGTGCATTTTAAAGGTTATCTGCAAATGTTTCCCCGTGTCTGAATTCCCTGCTAACCAGTTTCAGAACCCGATACCCAAGCGATGCAGACAGGCAATCGTCAAAGATTATTTCTTTATATAGCACCATCTTTGGTGCCGAGAGCCCACCTTCAAACAGAAGAGACACACACTCTCTTTTCTGATTTGTGTCTTGCTGCAAGCAAAATGGCTGTTTCGCACCCACCCCCTTTGTGGTTGGTTTCTCCCTTTTATAGCAGGCCCAAAGTAAGTTATTCAGTCCGAGTGGTAACAAAAGCTAAGTGCAAAAGCACATCCGTAAGCACCATGCCCAATTAAATTTTCTACAGAATGGTTAAATGGAATGGTGCATGAATGCCCAAATATTCTACTCCCAGAAAACCTTCACAGGAAATAAGATTAAAACGCCACTTCTTAAAAACGTATAAATAGTGGACCTCCCTTCTTTAGAGAGAAAAAGGAAGATTCTAGCCCGCAACGCTAGGAAAGGCGGGTGGGGGGAGGAAGAAGAGTTCCTTTCTTTACAGCCTCCAAACTCTGGAAGGCAGGAGTCTGGCCAAGACTATGGCTTACTTGAGGGCGCCTCCAGGCTGAGGGCAAGTTCTGCACTGGAGACTTCCCAATTTGCTGCTCACGCTGTTGGCCATGGTAACACCAGCTCCTGGGGAAATTTTGGAAGGTGCTAAAGCTGGACCTGCCATACTTCCTCCTTTAGATGACCTCTGAAAAGACACAAAGCCTTTCCTCCATTGTAGCTCGTCATTATCCTAAATGGCACAAGCTCCTTTAGTCTGTGCTGCCTTGCCTTTCCACTGCTATTCCCATGTAGGTGGAGCTGTACCCAGAGCCTGGCAGAGGGGCAGAATTCTCTCCTCTTTTCCCTACACCCACCCCACCCTTAAGTGATTTTTGGTCTGTTTCCATTGACCAGTATAGGTTGAGCTCTGCTCTCCTCCCCCAGCCCTATTTTTCAAGGCCTTGATGAAGTGGATTATTAACAAAAAACAGCCAAAGGGAAAATAGCAATTTGACTTAAGCAGCATTCAACATGTTTCACCACGAAACACTGTGAGCGTTCTCCAGTATGGCTGTGAACATGTTTGCTCTGCAGCTATCAGGGAGGTGAGCCAAAGGAACCAACCCCCCCACACCCCCCAAAATAAGTAGCAGCTGCTGCCCACTAGTAGTTTGCATATAGGGCCATGGCTGCTGGAGTGCCTGGATACATCTAAAATAAGTGAACAATGGAGCAGTGTTTTGGATGAGTAAAGATGACAGCGTCAGAAAAAGGGGGGGGGGACATCAAGGAGGCAGCTGTCTGTCCACGGCTGGCTTGTTGTCACACGCAGCCCGCGGGCTGTGCCCAAACATGTCAGCAAAATCTGAGCAACTGAGTTGCTCAAACCACCAGGAATGTACCTGCTTGATAGGAACCAAGGCTTCAGGCATTTCCAAACTGTGAAGAGCAGAGGAGCGCTTTTCCTGAACTAATCTTAAAACAATGAAAGGACATCTCTGCAGTGTCAGAGTGAGCCAATCGCCCCGAGGGCAGACATAAAAGGGAGCCTGGTAGGCAGCAGGCAGGTCCAGAGGTTATGAGATCCAAACATTTTAAAATTCTCTCTCGGGCCCCATTAACTCTTCTCCCCGGTCACATCTGGGTGGCTCAGTGCACAATTTGGACAATCAATGTCTCCGTTCTAAAGCATCCTCAGTTCAATTATCGTACAGGCTTCATCCCATTAGGAATATACTGTTATAAGTTCTCAATAAGGCACATACAAAACTGAGCAGAAAATTAAAAATAGCAGCTTCATGTGGAAGGGTTGGGTGGGTCAGTACTCTCTTGTCATCTGGATGATCAACTTGTTGTGCTCACGGTGCTGGAAACACCTGAAGCTTTTTCCTTCCTCGTGGTGGTGGTGGCAAGAGGCACCGTTTTGTTTCTGAAAGCAATTTTCAAAAGACTTCTAACCTCATGTCTAAAATTAGTTGTTTCATGGAATGTAGTCCAAAACAAAAGCTTTCCTTGTTGTGAAGGGGCAGCCACCCCAGGGTTGTCCCCATATACAAAAGCCTCCTTTGTTACCACCGTACTGAGGAGTCAGCCATTGAAAGGGGTGCATTCAGAGCTGCAGACTTTTGTTAGTTCAATACTTCGCCTCTTTGGTGAATATATATATGTAGCTCAGGGAGCATTGCAGTATTAACGCTCTTATAAAGAAGGTGGCGTATAGGCAGTCCATTCAAAAGTGAAGAGCTTAAACTTAAAAGCTGTTTGCCGTAGAGTGTGGAAATATGTGAACGAGGCACAACTCTCACTCCTGAACCAGCTTTGTATCTGAAGGCTTAAACTGTTATCTCCAGCTGTTACGTAAACGGTAGTTTTGTGTTTTAGTGCCAAGAGAACTGTCAAGCTTTCAACCATTTCTGTTTATGGGTAAAATAAATAAAAGTAGGTTTTCTGCACCATGAGCACAATTGGGAGTAAGGTGCCTGACCTCACCCTCATGGATGGAGAGGCTTGCTTATGAACTTTCTACCTTCAGGTAACCCCTCCGGGAGGGGCTGGAGCTCAACAGTAGAACAGGTGCTTTGCATGCAGAAGGTCCCAGATTCAGTCTCCAAGAAGGGCAGCGAAAGGCCTTTCTCTGAAATACTGGGAAGCTGCTACCAGTGTGGTGTAGTGGTTAAGAGCGGTGGACTCGTAATCTGGTGAACTGGGTTCGATTCCCTGCTCCTCCACATGCAGCTGCTGGGTGACCTTGGGCCAGTCACACTTCTCTGAAGTCTCTCAGCCCCACTCACCTCACAGAGTGTTTGTTGTGGGTGAGGAAGGGAAAAAGAGATTGTTAGCCGCTTTGAGACTCCTTCGGGTAGTGATAAAGCGGGATATCAAATCCAAACTCTTCTCTTCTTCTTCAGTCAGTGTTTTTATTACTGAGCCAGGTAGCCCAATGATCTGACCAAGGCAGCTTGCTGTGTTCCTATAGACCCCTCCACATCTCCCAGGGAACCCCAGCACTTTGCAGAAGCTTCTAGGGCACGGGCTCAGGGCCCATGGGGCATCAGCTAGGCCTGCTCAACTTCCCTGATGCTGGCATGAACTAGAAAAAGGCCCAAGCTCACTGCTGCTGCTCTGCTCTGACTGTGCATTGCAGGGGATGGACGTACCTGGTAGTGCTTCATTTAAGCTTGTCATCTGTTAATGATATTTTCCTGGAATAACACCCATAGGCTCTCAAGGAGCCTGCCTCTGCTTATCCATCCAGAGGAGGAAATGCTGGCTGTTTCAGCCACATACCCTCTTGGCGTATCTCATCACAGATCACAGTTTCTCTCCAGGGGAGTGTAAACTCCGCTCACCAGAGGTTACTATTTCTGCTTCTCCTTTTATGCGATCGCTCTTCTGGTGGAAAGGCTGTGGAGGCAGCGCTGTTTGGCTTTGCTGAGGTTTGACTCCTTCAACTTCTGATTCCCTTCCTAAATGTGTAAACGAGTCAGAACGGAAGGGAGTTCAAGGGGTTCGGAGTCCAGGGGGAAAGGCCCAGAGCAAGGATGTATTGGCAGGGGGGGGGGATGTGACTTGGGGCAGAAACTGCAGCTGTCTGGCTCCTTCACATGCCTGTCAACCAGCAGCTTCAGGAAGAGATGAAAAGGGGGTGGGCTAAACTGATCCCAGCTGTGCAAGCAGACTACACCCAGCAGGACATTGGGGGGGGGGGATCAAGGTTTCCGTCTTGAGAGTGAACCATGAGGGGGATGGAAACCACACACACCCCTCAAAATCTGGTAGAATCATTGGGGAAACTATCGTCCAGTTTCCAGACATCCCCCATAAAAAGTCAGTTTAGCAAAGACATCATCATTGAAATTATTCACAAATCAAAAGGTTTAAAAAAGAAAAAAGATGGAAGAAGGAAAGAAATGCGTAACAGGACAGAATGAAGCCCTAACCGAGCAGAACCCATTTTTCTTCTCCTTTAACTGTTATTTAAATGTTAGATCTGCCAGTCAGTCGTTAGAGGCAGCTGTTAATAAAAAGCAGCAGAAACAAAAAGGAGCAGAACCCCTCCTGGTAAGTTGCTATTTTCAGAAGGCCTACTTTCAAAGCCAAAACTATTTCTCTCACGCAAAAAAAGGGCAAGATTTTAGCTACAGTACGCTTTAAAGCGTTTCCACTTTGCAGTGCACTAAAATTGAGTTTAAAGCTCTCAAAATTGGGAGTCGAGCTCTAGCTGCCTGGGGGTCAGACCCTGCAGTCTGGTTTCAGTTCAAACTCCAACAGTAGGTTTGCTCAAGATTCAAACTAACTTGCTAGAGCCAAGTCTGCCTCACTGAATGAAATGCAGAAATCAGCATCACCAACCCAGATTAGAGCAACAGGACTAGCAATGGCCCTGCTTTCAATATGTGCCAAGATTAATCTTAGGTTTATTTTCAACATTCAGGGCCCACCGTTTTCGCGCACACGTGTATCTGCCTTGCATGATTTTTTTTGTTTTAAAGGCTCAGGTGTGTACTTTTTTTGTAATTCAGCATTTCAAGAGTGTGGCACACAGCTCTTTACGCGTGGCAGTTAACTGTGAACTCCTGTTCCAGGGGAGAAACGGAAAATGCCTGTAGTGTGAATTTAGTCCCTGCATTTACTGCCCCTTTTCTCCTACTGAGGACCCACACTTATTTGCAGGGCAGTGCTGTGTAGCTGGTCCATGAAGCATGTGAGTGCACATGCTGGTTTAACATTGCCAAGAATTCTGTTTTGACAAGTGGAAGAAAGGAGTCTGGAGTGCTTCCTGGAAAAGGTTCATACCTGCGACAGGATGGAGATGGGGCCAGATATTGCTTTCTTCCATGCTGCACCACCTCTTACAGAGGAGTACAGAAAAACAGCAATGTCCAAAAGCTTCGCTTCCAGTGACAGCAGAGTTTGGGCATTTGTTAGTCTTCCATTTTTGCACCTCAGGAAAGTTGATGAGGATAGGCAGAAGAACCATGAGAGAGCGAGTGAGTCATGTCACCAGTGTTCCATTCACAGAAGAGCATCCTTTTTCTATGATGGGAATTCTCTCTGGGCAGAAAGAGTTATCTGATTATTTCATCAAGAAGGAAGCTAGGAAAAGTATCGGCGTGCCAGTCCATCACAGCACAAAAAACAGAATAAGCACCACCAGCAGGATAGCGAAGAGAATGATAATTGCGCACCACTGTCGCCGATCTGCAATAGAACACATACGGATTAGTTCTCTGCTGCCATGAAAGAAGCTTTCCATGTGCTACAGTGCTAGGAGCCTAACTGAGGCGAGAAAAGCCACCAGCAAGAGAAGACATGGTGTTGTTATAGGCCTTTTTAAAGAAACAGCTGTATTTGGAACAGTTCAATCAGATGTCAGGAGAATTCATGTAACAAACGATAGGCTCCTTGGTATGCAAACTCCCTGATTCACAATGCATTCCCTCCTTCTCTCTGGTGCTGGTCCATAATCCCTTTCCAAGACTAAGATCCCAGAAGGGCCTGGCATATGGCAGCTGAGCTGCTGCTCTTAGTATCCCTCAACAAGAGGAACAAATAGAGAAGCTTGGAAACGTTTGCAGTAAGAATTTCAAGAGACTGTTTTCATATTGTGCCTACAGGTGCAGCTGGAAAAGCAATGTCCCAAAGTAAATGCTTCCACATAAACAGAGCTGCATCTAGTTTCTAAAAACTTGCAGCAGGAAAAGGACACAATTTAAATCCATATTCTGGGAATCAGGCAGCAGCTGGAAACCTCAAACCATTCAAATATCTCTGACGTTTACTTATTGAATATGCAACCACTATAAAACACACAAAATAGAAATGATATAAAGGATTGTGAAGCTCCTTAGCGGTAGACACACAAGTCAAACTACCTGAGCACAGGTTTCTTTTTTCTGTTTTTTTTTCAAGCACAGGTTTCTAAAGCCTTTTCTCTTCAGTCTCCAGCTAAAGACACTCAGGGATAGTGAACAGTGGCATTTCACAAGATTGTGAATGAAGAGTATGTCTATCATGTTGCATGTGTCCCTGGAAACAAACAATTACTCTGCATCATATACACTAAAATGGATTTGATATAGCACCTGCTTTCTTCTAAATGCAGTGCTATGCTGCTGTTTTTAATGTATTTTTAATCTTTTGTTGGAAGCCGCCCAGAGTGGCGCCTTCTTCTTCTTCTTCTTCTGTTTCCAGAGTAGCTCAGGCCTATACCAGCTGCCTTAGAATTCCAACCATTACAGGTCTGGGACAAGTAGTCTGCTTGGATGGCACCAGCAGAAGAAACAAGGTCTGGCAGCTACCTGTATCAGCTTAAAATGATTCTTGCTCATCATAATAATAATAATTTATTATTTATACCCCGCCCATCTGGCTGAGTTTCCCCAGCCACTCTGGGCGGCTCCCAATCAGTGTTAAAAACAGTACAGCATTACATATTAAAAACTTCCCTGAACAGGGCTGCCTTAAGATGTCTTCTGAATGTCAGGTAATTATTTATCTCTTTGACATCTGATGGGAGGGCGTTCCACAGGGCAGGCGCCACTACCGAGAAGGCCCTCTGTCTGGTTCCCTGTAGCCTCACTTCTCGCAATGAGGGAACCGCCAGAAGGCCCTCGGCGCTGGATCTCAGTGTCATGAGTGGTGATGTCCTAGTTGAGCCCCCTGCAATAACAGACGACTTAACATTTTAACACCAGCCATTTCCACGCCAGGCTACTTACCACTGGTCATATGGGACACTTTTGCAAGTTTCTTCATAACGTTATCTAGTCGTGTCTGAGTGCTGTCCAGCTCATGAGTAAAGTCATCCAACATGCTAGAACCACAAGAAGAGAGCAGGGTACCTCAGACTAAGCTTTTAACTTAGCGTAGGAGAAGAGTTTGTTACAAAAATCTGGCAACTACATGGGGAAATAGTTATAAGGTGGGAGCCACCAAGGTTTTTTGTTTTGCTTTGTCTTTAACGGAGTTGCAGAAGACCCAAACAACTTGGGACCCAAATAACTGGAGGAATGCCCATTCCCAACCTGCCCATGCTCCAGTATCTTCTGCGGAAGCTCATCTCCACATGCCTCCTCCCCAAACATAGTTGAGTCTTTCTGACTGTTCATTCTACACTTCACTATTATAATCAAAAGCTGAGGTTAAAGGTGAAACACAAGCCAAGGTGACATTGCCTTCCAAGGTTTAGCATATATTACTGCAGGTCGAACAGAAGAGATATATCTTATGTCCTGCTACCTGCCACATCACAGGAAAATAAACAGCACTAAAAAAGTCAAAATTATTGATAAATGCCAGACAATCTGGTGAATCTTGGCCTAGGCTATTTTGGGGGGCTGAATTCAACTAATTTGAGTCATGCTAGCAGAAACCCACGCAAGGACTTCCACTTGGCAAAACGGGGATTCTTCCTCCCACCCCGCCACACACACCCCAAACTTGTTTGGGGCTGGATGTCAGGAGAAACAACACCCCCTCTCACTGAACAGGACATGAGGGGAGGAGAGAAAAGATTGTTCTGTTTGGCAAGCTGAAATGCTTGGACTGACAGAATAATTGCCATAGCACTACACTGAATTCATCACATTGCTTTTGGTGCTGGCCGAGTACTGTACTTAAAAAAGCCCTGGGGGATGCGACCAAAAGCTCATCTCATCTAGTACTTTGTTCTCCACAGTGGCTAGCAACATGTTATATTCAAATACTCACACTGCTTGTTCATCTAGCTCTCCTCCAATACGCTGGGACATATTCTTTAATACACCAATGCTGCCAGAGACCAGCTCCAACTGTTCATCCTGCTGTTCGATGATTAACTGGTACCCAGAAAAGAAGGTGGGATTTATGTAGTTAAAACTCATGATATGCAACTGCAATTGGCAGCCTGAAGTGCTAATAGCACCTCCCTACACATCCAATCTTAATTTCTTGAGCATCTAGAGAAGCCTTCCAGGTGGAGTACAGCTCCCATCAGCCCCAGACAGCATAGACAACAGTCAGAGGTAATGAGAGATGTAGTCCTAAATTTCCGAAGGCTGGGAAAGGCTGCTCTAAGAACTAACATTAAGGGCTGTAGGTAAAGGGACCCCTGACCATTAGGTCCTGTCGTGACCGACTCTGGGGTTGCGGCGCTCATCTCGCTTTATTGGCCGAGGGAGCCGGCGTACAGCTTCCGGGTCATGTGGCCAGCATGACTAAGCTGCTTCTGGTGAACCAGAGCAGCGCACGGAAACACCGTTTACCTTCCCGCCAGAGCGGTACCTATTTATCTACTTGCACTTTGACGTGCTTTCGAATTGCTAGGTTGGCAGGAGCAGGGACCGAGCAATGGGAGCTCACCCCGTCGCAGGGATTCGAACCACCGACCTTCTGATCGGCAAGCCCTAGGCTCTGTGGTTTAGACCACGGCACCACCCGCGTCCCTTATTAAGGGCTCTAAGGAATACCTTTGAAGAAAAAGTACAGAACTTCCAGCCAGAAAGTCTACTCCCAGTTTCATGTCCCTAACTCCCTTTCCAGAACGTCTCCCTTTCTGAAAGGTACTGATACCTCAATATTAAGCTATGCATGCTCAGAGGAAGACTGGATTCCTTTGTTTGCATTTGAGCATCGTCTGCTTTGACTCTCAGTAATATGTGGACACGGGTGGCGCTGTGGTCTAAACCCCCGAGCCTCTTGGGCTTGCTGATCAGAAGGTTGGTGTTTGAATCCCTGTGACGGGGTGAGCTCCCATTGCTTGGTCCCAGCTCCTACCAACCTAGCAGTTCGAAAGCACCCCCCAAAGTGCAAGTAGATAAATAGGTACCGCTCCGGCGGGAAGGTAAACAGTGTTTCCATGTGCTGCTCTGGTTTCGCCAGAAGCGGCTTAGTTGTGCTGGCCACATGACCTGGAAAAACTGTCTGCAGACAAACGCCTGCTCCCTCGGCCTGTAAAGCGAGATGAGCGCCACAACCCCAGAGTCGTCTGTGACTGGACTTAATTGTCAGGGGTCCTTTACCTTTTAATATGTGTTTATTTGAACTGGGTGTAAATTACCGGTGTTTTTCAAGAAGATGTATAATAACTCTGCTAGAAGCTTGGTCTTTAGCAATGTTATTTATTTTATTTTATTTGTTAAATTTGTGTACGATCCTTCTCCTGGAGATTGCAGAGCGATTCACAACATAAAAATACAAAATGAGAACACAAAATAGAGAACAAAACAAAAACAACCCAATAACCCCACCCACCACAGTAATCTAACTTGCCAGAACATAAACAACAGAACAGATGGAAGAGGTTAGTGGTCATTTTTTATTCACTGTCACCCCATGAATCCATCACCTAAAGGACTGCAGGAGTTTCCCTCTGTCACCTATTTTCCTCTACTCCTTCCCTCTTCATCCCGGTTCCTTAACTGAGCTATGAAAAGTTGTGCCTGTGTGTCCTAGAGAACACATCAGTCCTGAGGCCAAAGCTTCTCTGGAAATCCTCCAACGTCAGTGGCTGTCTGTCTCTGATTGCTTGCACGCACGCACGCACACACACACACAGACACACACACATGCAAAGGCATCTATCCAGACGAAGCTGTCCATAGGAAACATTCTACCTGTTGCTGTGCTTGCTGCTCCTCAATGAAGTGGGAATTTACCGACTGCATTTCGCGATCCAAGCGGCCATACTTGTCAGCCCCAGAACTCCAGCCATGAGTTCCACTTTCTCCCAGAAGGACCTGCACATCAGTGAGCAAAGGGGGAACAGGTGAGCCGTTTCTGCGTATAAAGAAAAAATCTCACAACTCAGTCAGATCACACAACACATTCCCAGAACCAGACTTTTAAAAAAGGTCAAGCAATGTGTCTGGGCATTTCTCTTTTGAATGCTGTGCACCTGACATGCTGTTCCTCTTTCACAGTCTTTTGATTTTCAAACAGATTGCTATGAAAGCTGACTTTTCCTACGTTAAGAACAGCAGGTAAAGCCACAACTGCAAAGGAACAACCAGTAGCCTTAAAATGTGCTCCTAATGGCAAGTGTGGCCTTGTGGTCAGTGCCCTACTAGGATAAGCTCCACAGGGGAGCTCCCAACAGAAGATGTGGTTAGGATTTCTTGTCGCAGCAGAAAGGGCCACATGACCCTTTGAAGTCTTCTGTTTGTTTGTTTTAAATCCTGAGGAGAGGAAGAGGGCTTCAATCCACCACCATCATGGTCAGTAAGTGCAAGAGAGACTCTGGGGACTGACTGACTTACCATCACCTTGCCCCCTCTGTGGCAGAGGAGAAGGGAGTAAGCTGTCCCAGACCCACTCCTATCCATCCTACAAAATACAAAACTATGGCCATTTCTGGGAAGCAAGAGTTACAATTATCTTTAGGCAACTGCTGCATTTGCTTCATTGGGGAAGATTGACATAAGGAAAACAAACTCCTCCTTCCCACACATGTGTGAACAAAGTTTGGTAGTTCAAACCGGCAGGACAGAAGAAAATGTTCTCCTATTTTTTGCAGGCTCGTTGCACCCTTCTGAGCAAGGATGTAAGTCACGCTCTGAAACATGGGGCTTCTTTATGAAGCATCACCAATGCAATCTTTAAATGCTCATACCTAATACAAATGGACCAGCCATATCTCACAAATTCTGCGGTCAAGTCCGAAGGCAATCTAGCAGCAATACTGACCTGCCTGTTTTTCCTTTCAGCCAGTGCTTGAACAGAAGTGTTTGACATTTGATCCTTCATATCCTGTTTAGTAAAGAAATAAAGAATAAGAATTTTATTCTGATGTTAGCATAAGTTAGACATGCTAATTTTTAAAATAAAGATGCTCTATTGTATACTGGGCAGTGGTTTTTGTTTTTTTTTACAAAACAAAACAAAAACAAAAAGGCATCTACCCACAATAACAGCTGTTAAGAGCTTCTCAATGCCTGGATATTTATTTTAAAGTATAACATTTTATTAGTACAAGTATGTTTGTAATGCTATCTAACAATAGAAGATGAAAGCTGCAATCCTAAATACAACTGGACTGTCTTGTGAGAAGGATTGCTCTGTAAGTGGCCCTTATGACCTGCCTTGCTCCAACCAAGCATACTAAACACTTTAATAATAATAATAATAATAATAATAATTTTTATTTATACCCCACCCTCCCCAGCCAAGGCCAGGCTCAGAGCGGCTAAGAAGACACAAGAAGCCGTGATTTCTCTGTTCTGTATGCAGTCGACTCCTCCGACTTAGGAAAGCCAAACACCTTACCCTGACCACCTGTCGTGTGCTTGTGATGAAGGCTTTTCTTACTCCTAGCTCTGTTGCATCAAGGTTGAATTTTCGAGGGTTTGCTTCAACAATGCGTTGGGAATAGTCAGTAAAGGAAACTATATCTGAGATACAGTTCCTACATAACATATAGCCATTCTTAATGAGGCCTTTTAAAAGCAATTACTTTTTCTACACAAAGAGAAAAAAAGGAGGAATGCATTCTAGAAACATTTTTCAGGATATGTGCTGAGCGTATATGTCATCTTTTAACAACAGATTCGGTTTTTTGATAAAAGAAAATTATATTCTTGTACACCCCTTGGAGGGCCTTTGGACTGAAAAACTTTTACTTAATATACTCAGAATTAAAATTTGAACAATTTTGATGCCGTTTGAGTGGGTAGATATTATAGCTAATAAAGGATTTTGCCTCTAATAATGCTTTCTTATCTTAAGTGATAGCATATGGGAGAACAAACATGAACACACACTGTAAAGAATAATTTGTGGTGTGAGAAGAATTAAGTTTCTGGTTTCAGCAAAACTTGCTTATTTGTTGAACTGAGTAACTTTGTGCCAAAATCATCTGGGTAAGTACAATGTAGGTTTCTGCATTTATACATCTGAAAACCCAAAGGATATTAATAGTTTCATCTAAGTCTTCAAGATCCCACTCAATGCTCCTTAGGTTGTTCCTCAGTTCATTAGTGGTCCAGTCTATTTCTTCTCTTGTAGCGGTGGATGGATCTTGCAGGAGTTCTGTCCATCTCTGGAACAGCCCCTGTGCAGTGTTCACCGCCTTCTGAACTTCCCTGGAAGTGAAGGAAAAATGAACAAAATAGAACATTAAAATTTGCTTGGTGGCCTCATAATTATTTATATACAGACGTCAACTTACAACTGCTGATCATCTGCGCTTATAGAACAATGTTCTTATTTGCCTATATTAAAATACAAATCATGTGATGCCTCCCCTTGAAAATACTGGTGTATGTATGCAACAAATATGAGCCAGGTCATATACTACCTCCCCAGCCTGATGTTTCTCACATGCAAGAGAAATCTGTGTGCATATCTACAGAAGATTTTCTACAGATAATTGTGGTTGCAGGTCCAATTTGTGAATTTTTTTTGCAACAGCTATGGAAAGACAGCAAGATAGGGTAGTTGAACCTTTATGTCTATCAAGGGCTACCTTTCTATGTGCAGTGGAGAGATACCTTCCCACCTCTATACTGTGCAAAGCAATAGATGTGCAGAGTGTACAAATCAGCAATGTAAGCATTAGGAAAATAAATCACTGACCTGGATGACTTAACTTGTTTCTGGGTCTTTAGCATGCTTTTCACTAACATACTTTCTGAAGACTTTTCTGGTCAGCTTACCATTATAGTCAACGTTTAGACTATTCAATACAGCTCAGAGATATCAATGCTCTCTCCTCAATTAGAAGAGAAACATTACAAACGTCACTTTACAACGTCCTTTCTTGAATCCTTAATTTTCTGAAAATGGTAAAAGCCAAACATATTTCACCTCTAGTTAGCTATCAATTCTAGTCCCTGTTAATACAGGTCTCCATATTTGGAAATGCTCTTCCCACATGGCTCCCAGTATAGAACTTGTGCACTGTTCTTGCCTCTTTGCTCATGCTAGACAAGCTTTCAAAGTGGATTTAAGAGGTGTACTTGAAGGGAAATTCATTCTGACCGAAACTTTCAACCATCACCTACAGGAGTCAAATGCACCAATATCCAGCAAGCTGAAATTATTTATTTAAATCCTGCTCTTCTTCCCAAAGGATCCCAGGGTGACAAACAGATACACCAAAAAAACAAAAAAACCCACTCTAAAGCAGTTAAAACATTCTAACAACAATTACAATTAAAAACATCTAAAAGCAATTAGTTGAAAGGCAGGGTTAGGGTTACGGTGAGTGAGGGGTTGAGGACTTTCATTTCAGGTAACATGTCAATGACACTTCAGATCTAACTGTGGACAAACTATGTTGGAAAGATTCACAATTGCTAAACAATGCTAATTTCCATGTTTAACTTTCTAGAACAACATTTTCACTAAATAGGGAGTTTGCCATTCAGGAACTTATCCTCATCCTTCTGCCACAAACAATTGTGTGTCCTTCCATCTTCCTACAAATTTAACAAACATCTCTAGGCAATCATTAGCTTGTCAAGTTATGTTCAATTGAAACAGACTTTCGATTCTGTCCTTAAAACCCCTGAATGTCAAGCTTTCAAAGAATGCATAACCTTGTCCTTATAATTTGCTTTGTATAGTCATCTTTTCAACTTATATCCATTTTCCGCACAGCTAGTTCTGAAGAAGGAAAAATATGCTTGCTGGAAATTCGGGGAACCCAGATGCTAATGTGTGAGACTCTTGTGACCATCAAATCCATATTCTAATGATAGGCTGAGAATTAAGATCATCATGAAAAACTTTAATCTCCTTCATTGAACATGATGATCTTTCAAAAAACGTGATGGACACGAAAAATGACACGAGTATCAGCAACCCTGTTTCAGTCTTTAGTCTCAAAAATGCCCATGGGTCAGCAAAATGCTCATAAAATGATGGGTGCATTCCTGAGGGCTATAACCAAAAGGCTATGAATGAACGCACAATGGGAGGGGGGAAATGGGAGGAAATGCAGTACTAAAAAATGTGCCATTTCCACAATGCTGCCCATGTCCCCCTCAGGACCCAGACCCGGGCAACCCTTCCTGAACCAAGGCAGGCAGCGAACCATCAGGAAGAGGGTCATTATTACTACTACTAGTATTACCATTATCATTATTATTACTGTCATTACTGCTATTATTATCTGTTAAATCTATCAGTCCCGAGGCAACATGCATCCAAGCCCAGCACCCTGTCCTCACAGCACAGTAAAGAGCCCTGCTCAATCAGGCCACCAATTAGGGTTGCCATATGTCCTCTTTCTTTCCTGGGTATGTAAAATGTCATCAAATGGATCCATAGTTAAAGTAGAAGTCGGCAAATGTGTCCTCTTTTTTGCCCCTCAAAATATGGCAGCCCAGTCATTAGTAGCAGCGTGACTATTGTTGTTGTTGTGAAATAATAACAGTAATAACAACTATTGTTGTTAATATGCTTATTATTATTATTATTATTATTACTGCTGTTGTTAAATAATTGTTGTTTATATAATGATGCTTATTACTGCTGCTGTCAAATAATAGTTTTTGTTTATATAATGATGCTTATTATTACTGCTGTTGTCAAATAATAGTTTTTATTTATATAATGATGCTTATTACTGCTATTGTCAAATAATAGTTTTTATTTATATAATGATGCTTATTATTACTGCTGTTGTCAAGTAATAATTGTTTTTATTTATATAATGATGCTTATTATTACTGCTGCTGCTGTCAAATAATAATTTTTTTTGTTTATATAATGCTTATTACTGCTGTTGTCAAATAATAGTTTTTGTTTATATACTGATGCTTATTATTACTGCTGTTGTTAAATAATAATTGTTTTGTTTATATGATGCTTCTTATTACTGTTGTTGTCAAATAAGTTTTTATTTATATAATGATGCTTATTATTACTGCTGCTGTCAAATAATAATTGTTTTTGTTTATATAATGATGCTTATTATTATTATTATTATTATTACTGCTGCTGCTAAATAAATAATAATAATAATAATAATTGTAATAGTAGTAGTAGCAGCAGCTAATATAACGATGCTTATTAACGAATTATCATTTATCAGTTAAACCTGTCCGCCCCTTCGCGGGGAGGAGGGCGGCAGGATCCGACCGCGAGCGCGCCGCCCTCCACGTCCCCGCGCCGCCTCCGGCCCTGCTTCCTCGTGTGGGCCGCGGAGTCCCCGGGAGCCTCCCGGGCGCAGGCCGACCACCCCGGGGAGAGCGAGGCCTCGAGGAGCGAGAGAGAGGCCTGCCCTCCTCGGCGCCCACTCACCCTTTCACCACGAAGAAGGGGTCCTCCATGGACATGGCTCCGCTCGCAGCGGCCCGCCCCGTCCGTCCCGCGCCTCGGCCAGGCCAGGCCGCCGGGTCCCTCAGGCGGCGGCGGAGGCGGCGGCGGCTGCTGAGGGTCGGCGCTGCCGCTGCTTCTCCCCTCAGAGGCAGCCTCTGCCCCTCCCCCACCGCCTCCCTTCTTTCCCGCCCAGCGGAGGCCAGCCCGCTCGGCTATAGGCTCCCTCTGCTCACGTGACTCCCCGCCCTCTCTTTGCCCAAGCACGGGGCCGCGGCCGGAGAGAAGGGAAGGTTCCCCATTGGAGGAAGGAAGGCGGAGGCCTCGAGTCACGTGAAGAGGGAGCCGAAGGAAGGCCCGCCCCTTTCTGAAACGGGCGGGGCGAAGGCGAGTGAGGGGAGGGGCGGGGCTTGTGGTCCTCGGTGCCTCGGCCAGAGCATCCTTTGCAAAGCAGCAGGCCCCCGTGAACCTGCTTGTTGTTGTTGTTTAGTCGTTTAGTCGTGTCCGACTCTTCGTGACCCCACGGACCAGAGCACGCCAGGCACTCCCGTCTTCCACTGCCTCCCGCAGTTTGGTCAAACTCATGCTGGTAGCTTCAATAACACCGTCCCACCATCTCGTCCTCTGTCGTCCCCTTCTTCTTGTGCCCTCCATCTTTCCCAGCATCAGGGTCTTTTCCAGGGAGTCTTCTCTTCTCATGAGGTGGCCAAAGTATTGGAGCCTCAGCTTCAGGACCTGTCCTTCCAGTGAGCACTCAGGGCTGATTTCCTTCAGAATGGAGAGGTTTGATCTTCTTGCAGTCCATGGGACTCTCAAGAGTCTCCTCCAGCACCAGAATTCAAAAGCATCAATTCTTTGGCGATCGGCCTTTTTTATGGTCCAGCTCTCACTTCCATACATCACTAATCCAGGCATACATACATTCTATACATCACTAATCTCCTTCATACCTAGTGCTAATTTAAATAGAATATGGAAACGGATATTGCTCAGGTATAGAGAGTGGAAGGGATGGTTTATGTTAGCCACTGAAAATGATCCATTAACTTGAATCGAGTACAGGCTAATTTGTTCAAAATTCTGCAGGCTTGACAAGCCTGCCCCAAAGTGACTGCAACATGATTTATTACTCTTCTTTGGAGTGGCAGTTGCATTTTCCGTGCAGGCTGTGCTTGTTGGACCGCCATAATGAGAGATAAAACTGGCTGAGTGATGGCTTGAGTTGGACCCATTGGTATGACACAGTATCAGTTATCCAATCAGGATTGCCCCCTCTCCCCTTTTCCTGGCAGGACTCGTCCTCCTTTCTAACCGTTGTTTGTTAATTCATCACTATTTGAACTCACCACCTGAAAGTTCCCTTGTACCCCACACTGCAAATGCATGTGGAAGGGAATGCTTTGCCCCCTGAGTATTTCCTTGGCATGTAGCCGTTAAATGCACTGTCGGGGGAGGGGGAGTGGCCCCCGTACCTCAGCTAGTGTGGAAAGATAGCTAGTTTTTAGCCTTGTGGAGCAGAAGGCTGGAGACAGGCCTTACACAAATATTTCAGCTATTTAAGGTAAACAAAACTTTCTGGACTACAAACACAAAATGATCCAATCCACTGGTGCGTTTGAGGGACCCCAACCATAGCTGTCAACTTGCAGATTTGAAAATAAGGGACCAGCAGCCAAAATAAGGGATTTTCAGAGCACAGGTATGTTCAACTTTTGAGCCCCTCCGAGCCAAAGGCAGAAAGGCCAGCCAGCAGCCAAACAAAGCCTGAAGTCGTGGTTCCCACAGCGCAGCAACCCGGCAAAGGGGATGCAGGAAGGGAAACCACCGTCCCCTCTCTGCTGGGAAGCAAAGGCGAGTCCCCAGGCAACGCGGCCGATTTGATGGGCACAAGGCATGCAAGCTCCACCCCCAGTTGTTCTTAGACTCCTTATTGGGTGAGCAACACAGCCAAGCAACACAGTTGGAGCCTCCCTCCTCCCTGACTAGCAGGGAGGGAGGGAGAGGAGCTGCTTCCTTTGAGACCCGGGAAATTTAAGGGACATCATCAATAAGGGACAGCAGCGGGACACGGCGCTGGGATAAGGGACTTTCCCGCCAAATAAGGGACGTTTGACAGCTATGACCCCAACATAAGCTACAAGAGTGGCCCCACCATAGGCGCCATTTCTGGGAGGACCTGGGTGCCGACGAACCAACAAAATTTTTACTGTGGGTGCCCAGCTGGGTGACCCCACGTGGCATGTGCATGATGTCACATAGTGTGCTGAGGCCCAAAAGGGCTCATCGCAGCTGCGGGAGGGTCCGGCAGTGCTCGCCACACTGTGTGATGTCATGCACGTGAGGCAACATGCCGTGTGACATCATACGTGCAATGTGTGTATCATCACATGAGCGCCAGTCACCCACAACGTGGAGCAGAACCCAGTGCACCTGGGCCCCACACCAGTCTTCACCAACCTGCTGCTCAACCTGGTGCCCACTACAACTCACATTGGCCCCTGCCAGCACAGACATGGGAGTTGCAGCAATAAACTCCAGAAGCGTTTGTGCTCAGACTGTCTTGACCTGGTGGAGAACCGTGCCACTGAATTCTGCACCAGCAACAGTTTCCAAACCATCTTAAAGGCAGCCTCACATATAGTGCATTGCAGTAATCTAACCTAGAAGTTACCAGAGCATAGACAACAGACGTTAGGCTATCCCTGTCCAGATAGGGGTGTAGCTGAGCCACCAGCCCAAACTGATGGCAGGCACTCAAGCCTCATGTGAACATTGGTTCCAGGAGTATACATAAGCTGTGTACCTGGAGTGTAACCCCGTCAAGGGCACACAAACTTCCTATCCATCCGGTCTAGGGAATCTCCCACTAACAGTGCCTCCATCTTATCTGGACTGAGCTTCGGTTTGTTGGCTCTCATCCAGTCCATTACGAAAACAAGACATTGGTTCAGCATATCCACTGCCTCACCGGCAGATGTAAAGAAGGAGAGCTGTGTGTCATCAGCATATTGCTGACCACATTTGAGGTGACCTCAATCAGCAGTTTCATGTAGATGTTAAACAGCATGGGGGACAGAATTGAACCCTGCCAACCTCAGGTGCTGACCTTTAAAGCCTAAACGGCCTCAGCCCAGTGTACCTGAAGGAGCATTTCCACCCCCATCATTCAGACCGGACACTGAGGTCCAGCTCCGAGGGCCTTCTGGCAGTTCCCTCACTGTGAGAAACAAAGTTACAGGGAACCAGGCAGAGAGCCTTCTTGGTAGTGGCACCTGCCCTGTGGAACGCCCTCCCATCCGATGTCAAGAAAATAAACAACTTTCTGACTTTTAGAAGGCATCTGAAGGCAACCCTTTATTGGGAATTTTTTTATGTTGAATGTTTTACCATTTTTTATGTGCTGTAAGCTGCCCAGAGTTGCTGGGGAAACCCAGCCAGATGGGTGGGGTATACAACAACAACAGCAACATTTAGGGCCTCATTGGTTTCGTTTCCTTTGTTGAGAGAGACTGATGCTGTGTGCCTTTGCAATGATATTTATAAATACAAGTGGTACCTCGGGTTACATACGCTTCAGGTTACATATGCTTCAGGTTACAGACTCCACTAACCCAGAAATAGTACCTCGGGTTAAGAACTTTGCTTCAGGATGAGAACAGAAATCGTGCTCCAGCAGCGCAGCGTCAGCAGGAGGCCCCATTAGCTAAAGTGGTGCTTCAGGTTAAGAACAGTTTCAGGTTAAGAACGGACCTCTGGAACGAATTAAGTACTTAACCCGAGGTACCGCTGTATACAAGCAGACTGGAGGCAAATGTGCTCCTTTAGCTTCGGTTGTAACTCGTCCTACCCCTGCATCCAGTTCCCCAGAGAGCAATTTGTGCGGTACCAAGGCTGCACAACGATTTCTAACTAACTCAGCATAGTAGAAACTCCCAGGTACACACACACACACTCTCTCTCTCTCTCTCTCTCTCTCTTACTAAATGCAAAGTAACCCCTGCCCCAAACACAGGACACATAGGTTGGTCTCACTTTGGAGAGTCAGCCACACTTCCACTACTTTTTGTGGAAGAAAAACAAAACCTGCCCCTTTGTGCTTCCCATTTTTTGTTCTGTTAAAGCAGCAAGACCGCCGGGGCCCTTGCACCATTTTGCATGGACCCTCCTGCAGCTCCGGCTTCCTTTCTTCGGGGGTTTGCCTGACCTATTTGCTTTCACTGTGAACTGAAGTGGAACTCCCAAGGCTTGGTCGGCTGTCATCTCCCTCAGGTGTTCCATTGTCATCCAGCGCTGGATTATTAGAAGCTGAAAGCATCGCCAAGGCCCGTCTTTGAAACAAGGCAGAGGGACGTGGGGGCAGCGGTGGAAGAGGAGGAGTGGGAACCGCCTGCCTCCTTCCCTCTCTGCACTTCAGAAACAAACATACATACGAATTGGAGCCGCAATGAATATTTCAAAGGCAGTCTCCTGCGCTTTAAGATTCTGCTCATTATTGTGACATGCTCTCGAGGGAGTTAGAGGGCCGTGAAGGCGCAGAGCTATAGCGCCAGGTATCCGATCACAGGGAAAGTAGACGCAGGCCCGGGTCCACGGCCGAGCCAGCCGCCAGAAGCAGTCCTTTCTGTCTCATCCCACCTTATGATCTTATTCTGAAAAGCTGCTTCCCTTGCAGAGGGCTTGTTAGAGGAAGGGCTTTGTTGTCAACCATTTTCGCGGAGGGGATCCTTTAATCTGCACAGACACCTTGGGACCCCCAAACCCGTTTCCACAATCAAATCTGAGCAGCTGAAGGTGCTTGTTAAAAGGTCTCTGCTCGGGTGCTTTCTGCAGAGCGGTGACTTCTATGAGCTTAACAAAGCTTCTTGGCTTTAGTTTTTTGCACAGAGCCCCGGGGCTGCGCCTCCTTTCTGCAACCTTGCCCCAGGCAGCAAATATTTCCCTTGCCTTAGAAGGGGAAAGTGAAAAGTTCGAGCATCACGGCAAATATTTCACCTTGCCTTGTTACTCTGTTGAATGGTACCTTCCATTTCCCTACTTACGGTTTAAAAAATCTATTTTTAAATGCTCCTCTGTATGTGCCAAAATGTTTATTGCGGCTTCAGGGGTTCGGGGAGTTCCTTATCGAAGAACCTGC